ACACCAATATAAAACAATTACATTCATAAATATGCTGGAACACAAACATCCTTAGTTTCCTGTTGGGACTTTTGGATGTTACTCAGTGGCAGAGTTCTTGCCTTGCATGCAGGAGGCCTTGGATAGGATCCCCATAAAATCTTGTTTAAAATCACCGGGTTTTTATAATTAAATAGAGAACTGCATAAAAACATTGTATCTACTGTACTTCAAATAAAAATAAACTGAATGCAAATCTGGGTGTAGATCTTAATTTTCACATATTTTGTCCTACTTTTCAGGTTTTCAAAGTTGGGTCCATTGATGAGTTGTCAACTGTCTTTTAAAGAGAAGACTTTTCATTACCGTTTACAAATGTAATATTAAGAGAGACGGCCTGGTATTTCATTTCGAATTAGTAACGGCCTATTTTTACAACCATGAAAATGTTCATATTCTACATAAAGCTCTAAGGAACAGTCAAGTCCTAAATCTAAATCCCTAAACTCTCATATTGGCTTCAGCTTGAATGTATTTCAACCAGTTCCCGTAATTACTACAATATTACTATTATCTTAGACTCACTGCCAAAAACCCAGCTGCAGTGTAACTATACAAGAATGAGGCCCTGTTAAAATGGCTCTCAAAGAGTGAAAGAAAAAAAAACTTTCTTTAGTCCATTTCCCTACAAAATCCTGAAATCAAACAAAAACAAAAACTCATACACTCGCTCTTCTTCTGAGAAAGAACCGGCACTACAAAAGGAGCCCAGAGAGAAGGCCGGCCAACAGCTCCCCCACCTAACAGCTTAACAGAGTTGGGGTGGAGGCGGAGGCGCGGAGGAAACTTAGGCAGCACAATGACTCCCCAGCTCGGATTGTTGGGAAGAATGCCTCGGGCTCAGCAAACTCCGTCAACCCGGCTTCAGAGACGCAGCGCTGCCCAACCAGGAGCCCGGCGCGGCTGCCCGGCCCGCGTCCCCGCGGACCTCCTTCTTCCTCTCCCCTTTTGTTTTTGTAGCTTTCGGTCCACTCCAGCAGTGGCCGGTCTGTCCTCTCGGCGCCTCTCCGTACTCCCCATGCGCCCGCGGCCCCAGACTGCCGTCCTCCCGAGATACTCGGCCTTCCTGCGCGTACCGTGAATCCCCAGCTTCCTCACAACCCAGGCTTGCAGCCCTCCCGCGCCCCCTGCCTATCCAGCATCCCAATACGCTCCCAGCCGGGGTACCCCTGGCCCCGTGCCTCCGGCCCTTCGGGTGCCCCAGGCCCCTCAGGCGCCCCCCGGCCTCCTCACTTCCCCCCGTCTCCCTGCGCCTCCCAAACATCCTGCGGGAACCCGGAGCGCCCTGGGCCCCCGTGTCCCCACTCTCGCCCATCTTCCCTGCGCCCCCGGCCTCCTCGCGTCCTAGCCTCATCTTCCCTAAGCGTTCCAGGGCCCTGCGGGCTCAGCCCCTCTGGCGCCCCGGCTTCCTCCAGTCCCCGGCCTGCCCTCCTCCAAGGGCTGCTGCGGGCCGCCGGGAACGCGGGCGGGGCAGTCTCCGCTGCCCGCACTAGCAGATCTGGCCCCGCTCTGCCTTCGCCCTCGGGCCGCGGCCCAGTCCGCGATCAGCTCCTCAGGGGCCGCACCCCGCACTCACCAGGCTGCGGCTCGGCGTTAGGCTGAGGAGAGGCTGACAGCAACGGGGCGGCGCCGGCGACTGCTGCGGATCTCCCTCCCACGCGCACGCCCGGGCGCACGGTGGTCAGGCCGGCAGCGGGCTCGCGCCCTCGGGCCGTGCTGAGTCGGCGCGGGTCCGCGCGTGCGCCTTAGAAGTGAGGCGCGCGTTCCCACACACACACACACATACACACGCCCCCATCCAGCCGCGCACGCCCAATGGCGCCTCGGCCCGGCACCGACCCCGCCCCCAAGCGCGGGGCATGCGCGCCCTGGGACCGCGCTTGCGCAGACAATTGCCGCGCGCCCCTGGCTGGAGAGTGTAGAGTAGGCGAAGTCACCGCAGGGCTGAAGCTGCTGAGGAAATCCCTGACCTTGGATGGCAAGGTCGAGCCTCGAGTGGCCCAGTGGCCATCATGGGGGCGCGCTGGCCGCATACTCTGCCTGCGCACTGTACAGACTTCAGGGAGCCCCCCCCACCTCTTCCTGTCCTTAAATCCCAAATGCACCCTCTCCTCACCAGGGCAAACCTGCTTAGGGGTCTACATCCACCTGCCAATGAAGGGTTCTTGGGCCATTTTGCAGATAAGCAAACTGAGGTTAAGAGATAGTTTTAATGGCTCCCATCTAGTGCTGGGCCCTTTTTGATCTTGGAAGATGTTGTAAAAGGGAGAAGGATGACTTACTTTAAATGAACTCAGTTGCTCAGTAGTGTCCCCTGCCCTGGGTTTTGAGGCTGGAGAAGGCCTTCTCCAGGCCCTGGAAAGAGGCAAGGGTCAATTGGCAAAGGGCTTATGGCCTGAACCATTTTCAGAACACAACTGACAGATGAAAGATCTGAACGTATTGTGTGGTTGAGGGAAACCATAGAATTTAAGGTCGGAGGGATTGAAAAATCCAGACAGTGAAAGCGCCTGTAAGCCACACTCACATCCCTGGAGTATATTCTTTGGGCAGCAGAGAACCTTTAGAGGGTTTCAGACAGGAAGTGATAACTGATTTGTGTTCTTTAAAAAAAAAATCACTGGCATTTTTTGGTAGGAAATGAAAAGAGAAGCATAGGCAACTTTCACTTTTGTGTTGTCGTTTTGATCCTTGCCACAAGGCCAGGAACAGACAAGCAGGATAGGCACATAGTTGTGAAAGGTAAATACCCAGAAGAACCAGTACATTCTCAGGAACTGTAACTTCACTCTCAACAGAATCAGGTATAATACTTCTTTAGTAAGATTTTACATATTTAAGTATTTATTGTTTTTTAAAGTCGGATTTTGTGTACTTTTTGTTCTGATTTGCATGTAAAATTGTGAGGGATTGTATCTCTCAAAATCAGCCTTGGGGCCTTTGAACTTCTGTGTCCTACCAAGAACTTTTTCCTCCCTGACTTCTTCAAGCATCCCCTTACATGTCATTTTACTGATGTCTTCTGACCCTGTGTGTGTAATGGGAACCATTCATTGCCCTGCCTTTTTTTTTTTTTTTTTTTTTTTGGTAACGACACATCTGGCTTGCCAGGCAGGCTCTGTACTGCTGATCTATATCCCCAGCCCTCCACCCATCTTCTTACACATCCTGTTACTCTGCTGTTGTTATGTAAAGCTCCTGTTGTTCACTCCAGTCCAACACTATGTCCTTTTTTTATTGTGAGTCTGCCTGTTCCACTAGAATGTTAAATTCATTAGAGCAGGGACTTTGTTTTGTTAACTAATGCGTCCCTGACACAGAATCATTTATTTGTTGAATGAGTGAATAAAGCTTTGGGTGATGTGAAGTGAGAGATTATTATTAAAAATGTAAGAATAATATGGAAGAAGGGGGAGGGTAGTGAAGACACAAAAGGGATTGCATCAGATCATCTTTGGGGAAAGAGTTACAGTGTGATAGACTAAAAAGGGCCACTAATTGGCCTCCCAACAAGAAGTGAAATCTAGTTATTCATCGCTTGAATGTGGACAAATCTTACTTTGATTAAGAGAATCATCACATTCTATAAATTCAAAGCCCGGGCCTCCAGAGGTTGTGCAGCTTTTGTTTTCCACTGTCTTACTGGAGTCCAAGCTAGCCTCCTGAGTAAGCCTGTGAAAGAGAATTGAGGCACTTTGACCAATAAACACTCAGCTGCCAGGCCTGTGAGACTATAGGACCCAGCCAAGTGCTTAGCCATCTGTAGCCACATGAGGCCTGGAAAGACCAGCAAGGAACAACCTAGCTGGCCAACCTCAGAACTGTGAGCAAATAAAACATATGTAGTTTTAAGCCTCTGGGATTGGGGAATTTTTTAACACAATAAAAGGTTGATACTTTTGAAGTTGATGTTCTTGAAGGGCAGCTTCAATGATTTTTTTTTTTTTTTTTTTTTTTTTTTTGAGACAGGGAACTATCCAGTTCAGGGTGGCCTTGAACTCATTATGTAGCCTTAGCTGGCCTCAAATGTCTGTCTCAATCTCCCGAGTGCTGGAATTTCAGGTTCCACCATCATTCCAGGTGATTCTTCTTAATAAAAGAAAAAAAATAAGAAAAAGACAGAAAGTGATACAATGAATTAGGCAAAGAGATTAAAAGAGGAAAAAGGGTAGACCAACCCAGGCAACAGCAGATTGTCTTACCTTATCTCTTGGCACACTTTGGGTGCCTAGGAGCCCATGCATAGAAGTCAGATGACTACTGGTGCTGACCAGCTTTCCAGCTCTGAGCAACTGATTGAACATCTCTGAGCCCTAATTCTTCACCCATTAAATGGGGCTTATACAAATTCTACATAAAATCAGATGGTTATGGGCAAGAAATAAACCATATAAAGCAGGAAAGTGCTTGACATACAGATGTTATTAATTAGCTATAGCATTATTATGTAGAGTACTAATTACTTGGTTAAGGATGGAAGGAACATTTAGAGGCTCAGCAGAGCATGGTAGTATTAGGATGGCTGCCTCTGTAAGCACTATCTTTAAACCTCATAGGGTCCATGGTGACCCTATTGCCATCACTCCCTATTTTATGAATGTAAAAAACTGGGACTCGGATAAAAAGAATGACTCAGGTAGAGGGCTGGAATTCAAGGCTGAATCTTCTCCTTCTCCTCTCTAGCACAGTCTGCTACACTCAAACCCTGAACAAAGAGAGTGCCACTTGGTTTCCCCCTTTCCTGACTGCACCAGATGGGCCCGCCCTGCTGCCCTTGCTAGGAAGCTTTCAGGAAGCACTTCCTGTGTGTTAGCAGAGCAGCTGCACTGAGCCCCAGGAGCAGTTCCTCTTGAAAAGTCCCCTGCCACCTTGATCTAGGGAGAGTGCTGTTTTCAGAGGGACTATTCCATTGGGGGGGGGGGGGGCAGAAACACCCACTGTGTTTTAATTCTTTTCTTTTTTTAAATGTGGAATGCTTCACGAATTTGCGAGTCATGCTTGCTCAGGGACCATTGTAATCTTCTCTATATTGTTCCAATTTTAGTATATGTGCAGCCGTAGCAAGCACTGTTTTAATTCGTAAACAGCACATAGTAATACAGCATGGAAGCTGATGTCACCAAAGAGACACAGGCCCGGTTACCACGCATATCATGGCACTAAGCAGCCTGCAAACCAATCTGGAGAAGCTAAAATAAGGGAAAGTGAGATTGGAAGATGTGCTATGGGTACTTTTCAGCCAAATAAAATGTCACGAAGCAGGTTATGCTGACCCCTAAATGTTAAGAATTGGGGAGGAGAGAGCAGGGAGCAGCAGAATAGAGAAAAATGTTCAGTGGGCCTGGGTTCTAATGCTAGCTCTCCTATATGACAGCCCAGTGGCTCTAAAGCAGGCTGTGCAACCTGTCTGAGTTTCTAGCCCACTTTCCTCATCTGTAAAATGCAGAGAGGGAAGAAAAGGCTGTAAGAGCAAGAGGATAGAGGTGTCTGTAGGAAACAAGGCCCAAGGAGGAACAGTATGAGAGACCCAAGGACCGACTGCCTGAAGGGAACAATATACATTCACGATCACTGTTTAAGAACATTCTGAACTAAACTGTTTAGCCAGAATCACCTGGAATGATGGTACACACCTGAAATTCCAGCACTTGGGAAACTGAGACAGAAGTTTGAGGCCAGCTGACACTACATAATGAGTCCAACTTTAAAATTTCATTTTCTGAGGAAATGTAAAGATACAGAATTATGGGGATAGTATCTACAGGGTGGGGGAGGGGCTATCCCACAAGGACATTGGAATGATTCACTAAGGCAAGGAAACATCCTCACTGAGTTAGGGCTGCCCCAGCCCCTCCCATTCATATAAAGCTCCCCACCTTCCAGGGTGTTCCAGGTCTCTTTGATACACTAATTGGTCCCTTCCAAGTCTCACTTCCACCCTGTTTCCCCAAACCCTCCCTGAGTGAAAGTGAGCAGATCCCACTTGGACACCCAGCAACCTACAGTAGGACTTAAAAGGAGTGTGTATCCCAGGCTTCTGCTCTCTAGCTTGAGCCCCAGGCTACTGTCCACCTCCCCAGCCCATCCCCAGAAACATACGAAGTGATCCTCAGAGAACTGTCGAGATTATAGGGCTCGGCAAGTCCAAGCCAGGGATGATCTTTTGTTCTCTTCTCATCTGTGGTACCCTTTTTGTCTGGGACTTGTAGCCAGGGCTCTTATCATTGTGCATCCAGAACAGCTGCATCTTCTAGAAAACTCTGCCCCAAGCTACTCACTGTCTCATATATAATTTTTCTAAACCAGGGCTGGGTATTTAGCTCAGCGGCATAAGCACCTGCCTTGCAAGCAGGCGGTCGTGAGTTCAATCCCTGGTACTGATAAAAAAAAAATTCTAAACCACCCAGGGTAAGTATTACTAAGTACAGTTTACAGATAGATAAAGTGAGGCCAGAAGGGAATGGCCTACCCAGCAAATAAGTGGCAGAGTCAGAATTCACAGTCAATTTGTGTGGCTCAAGAACTTTGCTTTCAGAACTTTGCTCAGTGGCATAAGTGCATGTCTGACAAGTGCCAGACCTTGAATTTGATCTCTGGCATGAAAAGTAAAAAAGAACTGTGCTCTCAGTTAAGGGGCTCCTTTGCCTCCACAGCCTACCCAGCACTGTTGTGCCAGGCATGAGAGCAACCCAGTCAAGAATATGGGGAAATCTATACACATTCTCCTGTGATAATGGCCAGTTTGCCTCCATTTGATAAAGGCCGCACAGCTGTGAGAGCACCACTGGACCTGTTGTGCTTACAGCATTGCTACAAATCGTGCTTTTGGTCATTTTTATTATTTTGATCAGAATTAAATCCTCCTCAGAAAATTGTTCATGCTGCCACACCCCTGTAAACCCAGCACTCTGGGAGGCTGAAGCAGGAATATCCCAGTTCAAGGCCAGTTTTAGCTATGTAATGAAACGAGAATGGAAAAAATAGGAAAGAAGGAAGAAAGGAAGGGAGGAAGGGAGAGGGGGACAAAAAAGAAAGAAAGAGAGGAAAGGAGGAATGGAGAGAGAATAAAAAATTCTCAGAGGAATGTTCTTTTTGTGAATTTGGGGAGGAGGAGTCATGTTCAACAAATCTCCATGCTTTTATTGCAGTTTTTAAGGTTTCACAAAGTGCCACTTAGAACTTTTTCCACCTTTTTCTTTCTTTTCTGAGCTTGTATTTCTGTTTCAGTCAAGATCTTGTGCTAATTTTCAATGGCCAAAAACAATGCTTCTCAATCACGTATGATAAACTAACAATTCTTTTGTAAAATGCAATACAAAATGAATTAATCAAAATAAATGAAAATGTTGAAATGCATAGACATACATGTAAACTAAAAGGCCCCCTACTCCTGCAGTGCTGGGATAGAACCCAGGCCTTCTCTTACCCACTCAGAAAGCATTCTGCCAAAGAGCCACATCGCAGGCCCTCCAATTTTTATTCTTTTCAAAAAACCTTTGACATATTGCTTTGAAAACTTATGAAACTTTTATACATTAATATTGATTCCAATATGAATGAAGAATTGGGCAGGCTAGCAGCAGTTCCCCATTCCAGACTGTAAGTGCCACTAACCTGAACATGAAATTCTATTCAAGGTTTAGACATCTGAATACATTTCCACCCAAAAAGAATCCATTAAAGGCAATATAAACAGCTTTTAAAAATTAATACTTTCACATATGATCACAAAACAATTTGTTTTTCTGGTTTTATTTCTATTCTAAATCTCCCTTTAAATGAAAAGATAAGTTCAAGCTATAGTTAATGATTACCAAAATCTTATAATGAACAGGCTGAAATTTTTAAATTTAATGTTTTAAAGTTATAATTAAATTTTGCTCAAACTTTTATAAAAATAAAATTATGTGTATGCTAGTGTTTAGTATTTTTCTAGTTGGCAATATAAATAATTAATATCTTTGATGGTGCTACTTTTACTTATATTCAGTACATACCATTTCTGCATATATACGTACATGCAAATTTAGAGTAAAAGGTGGGGGATATAACTCTCTGTACTTTAGATATGGCTGTGCAGAGTGACTTCCTTCCAAAGCCTACAGTTTGGAAGGAACAGAAACCTGACAGGTGCTAGCTCAGCGAGATGATCAAGGTCAATGCTGTGGTTTGTGTTTAAATGTCCCCTCAAAGCTTCATGTAGTCATGGAGGCAGCTGACTCTAGCATTTCTGATTGGTTTCTTGTCTAGCGCTGGGATTGGCAGTGTGAGTGCTACACTCACCCAAGGGCAAGTAGCCAGCATACAACACAATGGAGGGAAGGAAGTGTGCTTTTCCACCTGAAGGGAAGAGTAGCTACATAAATAACTTGGAGCTCTTCTGCACAAGCAGCTTCTCTTATTTCTCCCATTTATTAATTTTTTTCAACCATTTATATCTGTGTAGATTCATGGATTTTTTGAGTAATTATCTATTGGATTTTTTCATTGTAAGGACAATGCTAACATACAAAAAAACCCTCAAGTCTGACCTCATCCATTCAAAATTATATATTTGGCATGCATGTGGGGCAGCAATGCCTTGTGACAGGAAATTAGCCTACGTGATACCTGGGCCCCTCCTCCCAGGAGGGTTAGAAGAGCCAGGTAGGCAGCAGGAGGCTTGTAGAAAGAGATTGATGGATATAGTTATGCAATCTGAAATCACCTCCCACCTCCTATGTCTGCAACGTATGTTCCTTCACACAAGCTTCGTGTGCTGAGCCCTAGGACACACCACACAGTATGGTAAACACTAGGGTGCCACCCATCTGGTGGGGAAGAGACAAGTAAACAGGTAATTAAAACACAGCCATCTAAGATATGTTGCCATGGAGGTGTTTATGTCAAATCTCAAAAGCAGACAAGGTCAGGGAAAAATGTGCCCAGCCAAGGACACAGCATGGCCAGGACACAGAGTGTAAGTTGACTTGTCCTTTGGGGAAGCATGCAGGCTTAGCTTGGTCACTAGCAAGGCAGTGTGTACCAAGGGTGGGGCTTGAGGCCATGGAGGAGGGAACTTCTGGGAATGTGGGTTAGCCTCCTAATGGTGGACACCCACCTGGATGTCTCAAACCAAAAAGAGTTTTACTGGAAAAGCATTTTTTGCTTTTGCTTATTTCATTTTTTGGCACTGGAGCCTTTGCACTAAGCTGCATCCTCAGCCCTTTTTAAAATTTTTAGTCTGAGATATTGTCTAAATCACTGAATTACCCAGGCTAGGCTCAAACTCTCAATCCATCTGTTTCAGCCTCCTGAGTGCTGGGATTACAAGCATGTTCCATTATGCTTGACTTTGGAATGCTGTTTCCATAGAATTAGCTTCAGCTGTGGTTAAGAGATACTCTGCAAGGAGAAAACATATGAAGAAACTTCAAAACTAGAGAGAAGAAAACTGATGTGGAAATTCCATAAATTCATCAGAGCCCCTGGCTCTTCACCATACATGAACTCAATTCTCAAGATCATCTTAAGGTCTAAAATGATTGCTAGAGCTCCAGCTATTATTTCCACATTCCAAGCCACAGGAAGGTAGAAGGAAGAGTGATTAAATGGTGCACTCTCCTGAAGTCCTACCCAATACTTCCATATACACCTCTTTGGCAGGGATCACCTTCAGGGAGGGTAGGAAGTGAAGTGAGTGTTAGCTAGCAAATCACAGCTCTGAACAACAAACAAACAAACAAACAAAAAACAACAACAAAAACTGGGAATAATGAAGTTGAGAATGCACCCTAGAGGATCTGCCACAGAAAAAACAGGAGTAGAGTACTTGGTAAGCCAAAGGGAAGCTGAACAAACAAGATGGATGTTGGGCAGGAGTCAGGGAACCAGGCAAGAGAAATAGTGAAAGATCCAACTCCTCTGCTGTAACCATCAGTGTTGTAGTCAGGGGTTATACACAGAGAACAATTCAGATCAGGACATGGAGTTTATATTTTTAAAATGGTCACTGGAAATTAACACAGGAAAATGCAGGAAATCTATCCGCAACACCAAAGACATAGATTATTTAGTCAAGAGACTAAA